GAAAAATATTATTTTTAAACATCTCGAATTTCATTAATTATACTGATATTTTATTTAATTCAAATCATATTCTTTCTATTAAGGAATATAATTTTATTAATAAATTTTTTAAATAATTTCATGATTTTGATTGGATAAAATTTGATTTGTCCCGATTAGAAGAAAAATAACTATAACACACCACTAAATTATTAATTATATAAATATTTAATTATTGAATTTTATTCAGATTAGTTTCTTCTTCTATTGTTAGAAGAAGCCTATATTTATTTACAAAAAGAGCCCATTTAGGTGAAAGTTATTAGCAAAACATGTAAGTAATTATAAAAAATGTAAAATAAAAAACTATATGATGATTTTATAAATTAATTTGGTACATTAAACAGAAAAATGATATATAAGCACCATTAGCGCACCCTAATAAAAAACCGTATAGTTAAACTTAGATGTTGCAGGAGGAATATCCATCCATGATATTATTCCATATTTTAAATTGACTTAATTAGATTAGTTTCTTATTCTATTGTTAAAGTATATTTATTTACTAAAAGAGATTATAGTGAAAGTTATTAGCAAAACATGTAAGTTAATTATAAAATGTAAAATAAAAACTATATGATGATTTTTATAAATTAATTTGGTACTTAAACAGAAAATAAAAGCAATTAGCGCATAATAAAAACTATATAAACTAGTATGTTGAGGAGAATATCCATGACATATTTCATATTTAAATTGCTATTTTCAAGTGAGAAACAAATATATCAATTTTTTTGCTCAATGAAATATTGTAGTGCAAGACAAATAATTGAAAAAAAATATTTTACTGTATATATAAAAACCACTATATTTATTGCAATCTAAATAAGAATTGATACTTTAATTATATAAATAAAAAAAGCTAAACTAGTATAAAAAATGAGCATATAACTAGTATAGTCAACGTGTATCGGACGTCATAAAAAGAATTAGTAACTAAAAAAGAACAAAATTATAAAAAGTTAATTAAGGTTTTAGCTCTTTTTTTAGAGAATAGTGAAATAACCCAAATATTTAAATTCATAGATTTTATTCATTTAAAAATTAATTGCTATTTCCTACCAATCAAATTATATAATGAAATTTAAAAGAAAATATTTTATTATTGTTAAACTGGATCCATAAACTAATTTAAAATCTTTAAACTGTATGGAAAATCCATAAATCTACTGAAAACAGGATCAAACCATTAAGTTGGACCAAATCCGGTTCAAATTGAACCGGAATAACCTAAAAACTTCTCTTTTCTTTTCTTTTATTTTGTTTTCTTCTTTCCTTCTCTGTCACTCTCAGCGGCACCGATCTCTCTCTCTTTCACCTCGATATTTCCAGCCATCACCTAAGCCAGCCGACGCCTACGCCGACGCCGACGCCTCCGCCTCCCATCGTCACGCCACCAGCATCTCTCGTTCTCCGTCAGTTTGCGGCTCTGGTGAACGCAGCAGCGCCATCGGTCACGATCTCAGCCACCAGTCGCCCTTAGACGTCACGCCTCTCCTTGCTCGCGACTCCGGTGAATGCTGCGACTCAGGCGAGCGACAACGCAACTTCTCTCTCACTCTTCTTCCGGTGACGCAGCAGAGAAACGCTGCGATTTCCTCTATCGCCAGCATCGTTTTTGTCCATTTTCCAGTGAGACAAACTGAAGGCCAGCCGACCTGGTCCCTTCCACGCTGCTGACAGCTCCGCCAGTCACCTCTCTTGACGGTTCCGGCAACTGTCTCCATAAATTCCGGCCAAGCAATTTCTGGCAGTAATAATTTTGGGTATTTGAAATTATTTCTGGTTATTTTCCAGAAAGTTAATTAATTCCAGCACTTTGTGGGTAGCTAACTTAATTTTCGGTATTTTCCAATAAATATTTCATAAATGTTAATTATAACTAAAAAGGTATAAATAAATTAAAACAAATTTTTAGTGACTACTTTTAGTAGGATTAAAGCAATTTTCATTTAGAAACTAATTATTGGATATATTGACTTGATTAGAAGGCTTCAGTGAATTAAAGCAAATTATAACTACCACCATGCAAATAAAATGAGGATTTTGATAAGTAAAACATATAAATTAAAATGCTTGGTCATGAGAAGTACAATCAAATTATCTTGAGACCTTAATTTTAAGAAGAAATCAGTTCGTTAATTTAGTTTAATCTTGTGATTATTAAATACTTAGTGTTATATGAGTTATTTTGGAGACAGAAAATAATTTAAGTAAAAGGAAATTCATTATTGGACAAATATTAATTATTCTGGAATTACAATTATATTATATAAATTAAGATAGTGGTGAATTAGGTTATTTAAAAGATATTATAATAGAAGTATTAGCTTTAGAAGCTAATTTAGAATTTCATTAAAGGACATCATATTTCGAGTAAAATTAATCAAATAAAGAGCTGGGTATATTTGTATGTATGAAGAATTTATTTTTTGGTGTCTGATTAAGAAAGTAAATGATATTGAGATATATGAGGATTTATTGCAATTAGATTGAGGGTTATTTTAATTGATAAGCTAAGAGTTTGATTACAAAAATTATTCATAATGTTTAGATATTTGAATTGATTGCCCCATGGAAGAGTTATGTGAATAATGATTAATAAGTATATGAAATAGTTAACACTTGATCAAATGGAAAATCTTATTTTAAGGGAAATGTTATTAGAAGTATCGATAAGATTTAGAGTAATTATAGCAGTTCAATATCTAAGCAATTATATGTTAGATTAATTCTTTAATTTCTTATTTAAGGAAAGTCATCTGTTTAATGCAGTCTTTCCTTTTTATTTATGTTTTATCTAGACCGTCCGAGTTCATACATCGCTTCTACTAGTCAAGATCCAAAATAAAGCTTGCTCATCCGAGTTTATGTTTTATTAATATCATTTTTTCGAAATATAACTACTCATGATATTATCTACTTTATAATTTTAATATTATATTCATACGACTATTAAGCAATTATATACATTATAGTAATATCATTAGTAATGAGCATTACATATTAATCTATCATGATGATATTTAAATGTTACATATTGATTATCTGCATGATATATTATATTGAATAAATTGATTGGATGATAATATTGTGCATTGTTTGCGTGTGGAATTGGGATGAAGTGGATTACTATGAGATTGTGAGGATGGCCTCAGACCGACTAGGTATGGGAGATGCTGTATACACTTGATGAAATATGATATGGAGCATATTCTAAAATCATAAGGTGGCATTCTGTTGGTAAATGGAAAAGAAAGAGAGAATGAAAAAAAGATAATGTGAGAACTGGTCAAGTGAAGATTAGACCGATTGGCCATGTATGAGGGATCGGCGCCCTGATGCACATATATGCGAGGACAGGCCATATGCGAGGACGGTTGAGATGTCATTGACCAATCTCTATTTGATGTAGTTATTTGGAGGTGATATCATTTGTGGATATGGCCTTAGAAAAGAAAATAGACAGAGCAAGAGTCCAACTTTTCAAATCTATGGAGGCTTTGTACAGTGACACTGGTGAAGGAATTGAAGATTTGGGTCCACATGTTGTCAATCTGGATTGCTGGACAAACAAATGCAAGATTAGTAAAAAAAGCATCACAAAATATTAAAGATAAATTAAACCCAAAAAAAAGAGTATAGATGTGGTAAGATTATATGTTTTGTATTCAGAATAGTCATTTTGATTCATATTGATGTGCTTTAAGGAAAAAAAAAAAAAAAATTAAAATACACAAATTAAAGAAAAGATTGCTGACATGTGGTTAAGGGCATACGAAAACTCCATCGAGAGCATGATTTATTAGCATCTATTGGCTTGAGTCCAAATCCTTAGCATCTTTTGGCTTAAGTCCAAGGCCTCCATATTCATACAATAGAAATAAACAGCCCTTTCATATGAAGATTCCGAAGAAACAAAGTAGAACACAATCAAGGAAAGGAGGAGAGAGATGACGCTGAGATGAATTCAGTTTTTCGTCTACAAAAAAGTGGGCTTGAGTTAGCTAGGGACAGCAATTTAACTCTCCTTGCTGGGTACCCGATCCGATTCAACTTGATTTTAGTGGATTTAGATGGTGTATAAATAGATTTAGGACAGATACTCGTTATTCGCCCCGTTAGCCATATGATTGATTTAAAGCAAAATTTTTATGATGATCAACGTTATCGAATCCATAATCTCTATATATCAATTAAATTACATTACTACCAAGCTACTTAATATTCATGCGTAAGAAATATGCAAAAATACATATACCGATAACTATAATGATTTATACTATAGTTATAATATGTCTTATTAACTTTATTAATGAATACAATATTATTGGATAATATATCTTATTCACAAGTAAATTTTAATAAAATTACGTGCATTAAATTATAATATTTTAACAAATTGAATTTAGTTTTTTTTTCATAAAATATATTAAACAAAATTATATATATAATATTTATGTCATGTCTTATTATTTAATTGAATTTTTTATAGTTTGATGATTATGAAATTTGTTAAAAATAAAAAAGTTATTAATTGAATATAATGCTAATGAACTTATAAATATAATTATAATTGGATCTTAGTTACATGTCTTTTTATTTTTTTATTAGTATCATCATATATATTAGCATATAACTATAACCTACTAAGGAAATATATTCTTTAATAAAAAAATATTAAACTTAAAATATTACTTAATACTTTACATAATATTCTTGTTATTTTTACAAACTACTATAGATATTGAACATCGGCATTATGCATTTAAATTATACTAATATAATATAACAACTTTAAGAATAATAAGAATAAAATAATAATAACTTTAATAATAATAATAACAAAAATAATTAATTTACCATCAAAACGACGTAGTTTTGATGTAGGAGGTTTAAATGAATCCACAAAAACAACTACGTCGTTTTAGCCTGGGGTTGCATTTTAATCATACAAACAAAAAGTTATCTCAAACTCAACTCAAGTGAAACGTATTTTCTCCTCCCTCCCTTCCCTACCCCGCTCGTTGTCTGCACTTCTACAGCCATAGTCTTTGTTTATACCTTCCCGTTGCTTTCGTTCTTGGCCATCGCCTCCGCAGCAGTCGTATTCTTCAAGCGTACAAGTGCCGGGTTCGTTCTTGATTTTTTAAATTTCATTCTCAGTTTATTTTTTTTTTTTTTCGTTTTGCTTCGTCCCTTTTCCTTTTCCGTTTTCTTTTTTCTTTTTATAAACACATATAAACAGACAAAGAATAGGAATTGTTGAATTAATTTATGGGTTCAGCCGAGATTATTTGCATATTGTTTTATTTTTTCGTTTTTGGGTTTTGTGCCTGCTTTATTTGTTGAAAATATATATATTAAAAGGCAAAAGGATGGTGACTATAAGCCAATTCATGGTTTGTTAAGTGAAATCTGATATGTTTGGTTTATTAATTCAAAGTTTGGTTTGTTAATAATGATTAAGATTGTCTGGAAATACTGATAATGAGATGATTTGCATATAATTGTCATATACTGAGAATGGTATGTTAATTTTTCTGCTGCTAAAGTTATCCAAAGTTTGGTTTTCAATAATAGGATTCCAAATTTAAAATTTGATATTGTAAATGAGGTTAGCTACAAATATCAAACTTGATAAGCAAAACAGGTTAAAAGGAATCTGCTTTTTAAACAAAATGTGAAAGCAAAACACTTTTAACTGGTTTAGTTTGTTCTTGTTTTTTTCTTTTACCATGAGATATTTATACAGATCTATCTAGAAATAAGCTTTTAAAAGTAATAACACAAATTACATAGGGGATTAAACACAAGCTTTAATATTTTGTATTTTGTATAGGGCTGATTTTTTTTAATATTTTGGTATTTTGTATAGGGTGATTTTTTTTTTTTTTTTTTTTTTTTTTTTTTTTTTTTTTTTTTAGTATTTTGTTATCTTATATAGGGCTGAATTTTTCTTTTTGAGAAAGGATATAGGGCTGACTTGGATAGCTTAAACATGTAAGTGTTTAGTCATATTGCTAGGCTTTGAATTTGCTAGTTTAATTTGCAAACTTGTTTATTATCCCTAAACTTGATTGCAGCTAGTTTAATTTGCTGTAGGTAGTTTTAAATTAGCTAAGCCTAACTAACTAGTTGATTTGATATTCTAAATTGCATTTTTCTTTTAGTTTTAAATTACATTGTTGTTGGTTTTCTTTTCCTATTTAAATATGTTATATATTTTAAATATATTGTATCGAAAACATAGATTTTATTTTGTAGGATATAATGTTAACATTTGAGAGTATAGATTGTGAAGATAGTAGCAAAAATGAGACAAATATGTCTATGCCTTCTGCAAATATGTTTTTGTTGTAGTGTTGTTTTGTTTTGATGTACCTTCTAATTCACTAATTTTTTTTATTGACGTACTTTTTATTATGTTTTATATTGATTTAGTTCTCATTCTATGATAGTTTGTTATAGTTTAGTATTATTATATTTTAATTAGTTTTTAGTTTGTGGTTGATATTATGGATATTGAATTTTTATAGATGTTTAATTGTCAAATTGTTTAATTGAGAATTGATATAGTTGTTTCAGTTTCAATTCTTTTGTTCTATTTTAGTATTACTATGTACTGTTGATTGATTGAGAATATTATAGTTTAATTTGTTTTATTATTTCGAATATTACAGGTTAAGTTGTGTTACTACTTTGAAGTTGAATTTTAATGTATTTTATTATTATTATTATTATTATTATTATTATTATTATTATTTTGCACTCTGGGTTCGGATTCGGGTTTCATGCGGGTTCAGGTTTCATGGGTTGAATAAATTTGTGATTAAATGGGTATTTAAACGGATTCGGGTAGTATGCGGGTATTTGTAAATGGATATGGGACGAGTTTGGGTATTATTGGTTTATTCCTTAACTATTCTTAACAGATCCGGGTAGTTTATTTTTTGCGGGTACCCGCCCCACTGCCAACCCTACTTAGATAAATTAAATGGGTATTTAAACGGATTCGGGTAGTATGCGGGTATTTGTAAATGGATATGGGACGAGTTTGGGTATTATTGGTTTATTCCTTAACAGATCCGGGTAGTTTATTTTTTGCGGGTACCCGCCCCACTGCCAACCCTACTAATAAATCATGCTCTCGGTGGAGTTTTCTTATGCCCTTAACTACACGTCTGCAATCTTTTCTTCAATTTTTGTGTTTTTATTTTTTTTTTTCCTTCAAGCACCTCATTATGAATCAAAATGGCTATTTTGAATACAATACATATAATCTCACCACATCTATGCTCTTCTTTTTTGGGTTTAATTTATCTTTAATATTTTGTGCTTTTTTTTCCTAATCTTGCATTTGTTTGTCCAGCAACCCGGATTGACAACATGTGGACTCAAATCTTCAATTCCTTCACCTGTGTCACTGTACAAAGCCTCCATGGATTTGAGAAGTCCCACTATCGCTTTGTCTATTTACTTTTCTAAGGCCATGTCAACACCCTTGGGAGCTTGGCCACTGCCTGTCTGTTTCCTAGTTTCTTGATTTTGGGTCAGGGATCTGTTGTTTTCAAACGAAGGAGAGAGACAGTTATGAAGGAGAGAGGTGAGAGAGAGGGAGGGTTAGCTAACCTAGGATTGAACCGTGCTAACCCAAGCTAATTAATGTAGGGTTAGCTAACTGGTGTGAGTCCCTCATTTATAATTTTTTAATTTCAATTTTGACTATTTTGGCTTTTAGGGTGCAATTGTGAAATAAGTTTAAAATTAGAGTTGTCTAAGGGGTTAAGTTCATTTCAGGGTTAAGTTCATTTCAGGGTGCAAGTATAACAACTCATAAAGTTTGGAGTATTGGGAATGATTTAAACTCGTTTACACTTACTTGAATTTCCCCGTTTCCAGCCAATGTCTTCTCGACATCAAAATCAACAATAACTATCACAGTCTCAACCAAACCCTAAATTTCATTTTCTGCAAAATCCCTCACATATTTCCCTCAATTTCCCCAAATTTGACTCTGCTGCGGTGGCTATGGTCTGTGTTTAACCCTTTTTTGTGGACAATTGGGCCTCCCCTGTCCTTCCGCCGAGTCTATCTGCTTCACTGTTCAAAGGCAACTGAGCTGTAATGTTTGTATATAAAGCTGTAAGTTCTTTATGCAAAATAAATTTCCCTATACCTCCAACTGAAGTTTTCATGGTAGTGAGGAGGAACAAGTCATTCTTGTCCAGTAAGTCTTACTATTCGATTATAAAAGGGCTTAGTATAGCTGATGGAAAATTTCGTGCAATCCAGCCACTTTTGTGTAGTCTTATAAAAGAATATGGCCTTTTTGAACCTAAGGTAAGTAAGATACTGGTGCATTATATTTGTCTAGGTAAGGATGTGAACTGTGCCTTTTATTTTCTTAGCAAGATGAAGGAAAATAATGTTCCTCTTAGTATTCCAGTCGGTGCTTTAAGAGCACTTACAAAAATCGGTAGATTTTTATCTGCTTATGAACTTGTTGTAGGAGCTAAAGATTATGGACCAGTAATGGATGTTGTTGATTATTCTATTATGGTTGATGGACTTTGCAAGGGAGGACATTTTGTTAAGGCATTAAACTTGTGTGTTTTAGCTGAAAAGAAAGGAATTAGTCTTAATATAATCACTTATAATTCAGTTATAAATGGACTGTGCAACCAGGGATGTCTTGTTGAAGCTTTTCGGCTTTTCGATTCGTTAGAGAGAATAAAATTGGTTCCTTCAGAAATTACTTATTCCACATTGATTGATAATTTTTGTAAGCAAGGGTATTTGCTGGACGCTAAGCTATTATTTGAGAGGATGCTGCTCAAAGGCTATAAAGTGAATACACGTATCTATAATTCATTTCTTAATGGTTATTGCAAATTTGGTCAATTTGCAGAGGCCTTGAAGATTTTGAAAAATATCCAAATAGAAGGCCTTGATCTTGATGAGTTTACTGTTAGCTCTATAATTAATGGTTATTGTCTAAAGGGTGACATGGAAGGGGCGCTAAGCTTCTTTTTTGACTATAAGCAGAAGGGTATTTCTCCTGATTTCCTGGGCTTCTCGTACTTGATTAGAGGTCTATATGCCAAGGGAAGGATGGAAGAGGCCAGAAGCATCTTACGTGAAATGCTTCAATCACAGTCGGCTATGGAGCTGCTGAAGAGAGTCAACACTGGAGTTGAAACAGAGTCTATAGAAAGTTTTCTCATCTTCTTATGTGAGCAGGGAAGTGTTAAAGAAGCTGTTATTATACTTGATGAGATTGCATCTGCGTTTTTCCCAATTCAGAAGTGCAGTATTCCTTATGAATCACCAGAAATGCAAAATCTTTCTGAATCGGAGGCTTTTAGTTTATTTTCTCCAAGGACTATATCCTCACCTGAAAAGAAGGATTTGGATTTTGTGTCTTGTGATGCAAGGAATGCTGATAAAATGGTTATGAGCTCTGAGGATATGGAAAGATGTGAAATTGACCACTTTGACTCGTATTATTCCATAATTGCTTCACTATGCTCAAGAGGGGAGGCATCAGAGGCCAATAAGTTAGCAAAGGATATGCTGGCTAGCTTGGATGGAACATCGTGAAATACTAATGCCTTGTACTAGATTGCACCTTCCTCATCCTTCTAAGTCAAGCTTGCCATTATGCAGGTATTTTTTTAGCTGATATTAATGCTTTCTAATGTTACACTTTCAAACAGTTTGCTTGGAGCAACTTGGTTCACTTTATTGGTGATGGAATCTATGTTAAGTTTTTTCCTTTGTTATAAAGAATTCTCTTAACTATTGAGCCATTTTTAATCATTAATTAGTTCTTGTCCAGGAGCTTTTATGAAAATATCAATATTTTGATCTCAGAACTCTGGCTAATGCATGCTGAAATGTAAAGGTATCTTTGGACATAAAACTAGCGGGAAGACCATAAGGATAAGATAAGGGGTAATAGATTTATAGAAAACGCAAGATGGTGTCACACCAGCTGTTATCCTAGCATCTTTTTTGTTGGATCAGAAATTGACTTTGTGAAATCTCTAGATCAATTGATTGGTTATTATACTTGATAAATAATATAAATTAAATCAGGACTTATTTCTCCTTTTTAAAATATTTGTGCTTGCTAATATAAGTACTACGATTTCTGTCCTTAAATTTTCAGTAGAATCACTTGGTTCTTAAACTTTAGGGAAAGGGCTATCAAGAGCATATGTGCTAAAGATGTTCGATTTGTGGAGTTGGCTATGTACAACGCGGTAATGCCTAACCGCATTGCAGATCCTTGTAGATGTTTTGAGTTTTTGACTGTTGCAATCATTTTGTACCTACATAAAACAAGAAAAAGCCACATGGCAAAAATCATAATTTTTTCTAAAGATCTTTTTATAAAATAATGTTCCGTCACTTAATTTTGTAATCCAATAACTTATTTGTTAACGTATATTTATACAGATAGATTGGACAAATTTTTATTTTTAAAAGGAAATCTGTGACAGTGAAGGTGAAGTTCATGAAAATGGTTTCAGGTTTTATTTGAAATGTAACGAAATATAATCAAGCGTGTTTATACTATATTGTTTACAGTAGAAATGCATTTAATTATATTACATTCCTTCGTGGCTTAGAAAAAAGTCTTAATAGTGATAAAGATAAGAGGATAATAGCATTATCAAGTATACATTCTTAAATTTTTCAATGGTATACTGCATTAATTTTTATTTTGAAAATTTTTGAGATTATTAAAAACTGATTCTATGTGAAGATATAAATAATTTTGAATTAAATACAAATGCAGCCACAACAATTGAAATTAATCATTTCCTTGAATGAACAATTGAAATAATCCAACTTTATTGTTGTAGGATAAGACGTGAATGAGCAGCTTGAGGCTTAATGAATTTATTTACCCTAAATTTTGGGGCTTATTGCAATTTCGTTCTAATTTTAATTATTTATTATTTTTCAATAAGATTGTTGTATGTATCTTATGCTTAAAATTGAAAGGAAAATAATTATAATAATATTGTAAAAATTTTATTTTTTAATTTTTTAAAGATTTCTCTTTGCTCTTCTTTATCTTTCTTTGATCCCTCTCTTTCCTTTTCTTTTTCAATCCATACAAAGCTACTCACCAGAAAATCAGAACTGCAACGCATAAAATTTCCTTACTTTATTATTCCTTATATAAAATTGCCATCTCTGTAGATGTAGAGAATCTTGATGGGAGCTTGGCATAGCTTTGTTGTGCAAAAGAAGGATACCTAACAAAACATGAACAGAATGAGAAGGATGATGGAAGCCATGGTGGTTTAGGGATGGTCCTTATCAGCACATCCATTGCAGCTTATGGGTCTTTCACTTTTGGGTGTTATGCACAACTTTATTTGTTGTTTGATTATTTATCAACCCATTAAGTTAGTTTTTTTTTTTTTTTAAATACTTTTTTCTGATTAGTAAAAACTTATTTCCTTTGATTCCAATTCTCTTTGGAGCAAGTAATGATTTTAGTTGTTCTAGGAATACAAGGCTATGAATTTGCAGGTGGGATGCTCTGCACCAACCCAATTAGGCATTACGTTTGCTTGTCCAATTCTAATGATTTTTGGCACTCACATGTATAAATTTGCAAATGCAATTATGGATTTTTTTTATGGGGAGAATATTTTGCCATTGTGCAGTTCTCTATATTAGGTCCATCTTAAATATTGGAACTTTGATTGGAACAATCACAAGTGAAAGAATTGCCGAGTTCATTGGCTGGGCAAATTGCATGTTGAGACCGTATGATCGAGGAACATGGTCAATCAGTTTCATGGTTCTATTCTGTTTCAAGCTCTTAGGATATCTTATATTGTCTGTACATAAGAGTCATAAAAAAAGATGATAAATGCACCACTCTCTAGGACCTTACGAGGCAGAACGAGTAGCCTTTGCTAAAATTCGTAAATCTATTAATATAAATCCATGATAGCTAGCATGAAAAAAGTTAAATCTCAAACTAAGCATGAAAAACTCTTAAAAGGAAATGTCCAGATTTTCATTAGTATTGTAAAATTTTTTAACATCAATCCTCTTCATAACTTTGAAAAATCCGAATGAGAAGTAATTCTAACTGAATGAAATGGACAGATTCAAGAGAATCAACAAATTGGTGTTGGAGGAACTTTGCACAGGGCGCTTGCACGGGTGAGACAAGCGGGTGTGAGGTCCAGATCTGAGCTCCTTGTCCAATCGGCTAAATTTGAATTGGAACAGTCAATATTAGAAACGATGCTTTAAAATTAATAAATTAATTATTATTGAATTGGAACGCTCAATATTACAAACGATGCTTTAAAATTAATAAATTAATTATTATAATAGCTCTAAAATTTAATATGTTAATTGTTATAATAACTATTTATCTACGATATATTATGGGTCTGTTCGGCAAGCTATTCTAGCCGTTGTTAGCTATAGTTGTCCCGTAAGCTATTCTAGCAGCTATTGTCTGTTTTAATATATTTTAATAGTTATTAATTGTTTTAATAGATTGAAATCAGTGAAGGTGTTTGGTAAAAACAATTGTTTGACGTTTGATTGACAATTAAATTTAAATGTTCACTTAGAATTTTCACTTACAGGCGCATAATTCAACTCATTATAAAAAAAATGTCAAACTTTAAGTGAACAAAAATTGAAAAGTTCACTATTTTATAAATAAAATTGAAAATTTTTAATAGTTCTAGGGGATCAATATTTTTAATTTTTATTATTTTCTTGAATTCAAATGCAAATATATAAACAAACATTTCCTTTTTCTTTTATTATCAATTATAAACTAGCCAAGTATAAAAAATAATAAAAAGACCTAATATGATTAAGAAGGATTTTACATTAATAAAGGATAAGGTTGTAAAAAAACTTACATAAAAAGACAACGTTGTAAAAAAAAAACTTACATAAAAAGACAACGCTAAACATTAGCTGTGGAATAAAGTAGACATGGCCACCAGTTCATTTTGAATCGGAATCGAATTGACATCGAATTGTACTGTAGATGAACTGAAACTGGATCGAAACTGTCGGTTAAAAATTTTGAACCGAAACCGGTGGTTCAAGGGCTGGTTAAAGTTCATGTGAATTTTAAATCTGAACTTAACCCGACCCTGAACTGTGATGAACCGGCGATTCTGGTCCAGTTAAAACCGAAATTTTTCTTTTTTTATTTTAAAAATAATATTCACTTAGCCTATTTTATACATCACTAAATATTACTTTACTTAAGTTTTTTTTCAACTTTTTTTCTCTCTTTTAAATTGTTTACTTAAGTTTAATTGTTTACTAAGTTTAAAATTACAATCTTTTGAAGCATTTTTCAAAATTTTCTTATAATTTATTTAATTAATAACATTTAAACAAAAAATGTTTACTTAAGTTAATTGTTTACTAAGTTTTAAAAATTACAATCTTTTGAAGCATTTTCAAAATTTTCTATATAATTTTATTTACATTAATAACATTTAAAACAAAATAAAGGGTTTTGATAACTTATTTGATTATTTGCTAAAATTAATTAATTTTTTATTTTTATGGTATGAACATTCTGAATTTTGTAAAATTAATTAATTTTATTTTTATGAGTATGAACATTCTAAAATTTATTTAAAATAAGATTTATCAATATTTTTAAAACTCATATTAATATTTTCGAAAGAAAAATGTAAAGTTAGAACCGATTTTTAGAAAAAAACACATACATTACAGGAAACCGTGATCAGAACCATACCGAAACCGACTGAAACTGAACCCAGACCGGAACCGATGGTTCAAAAGTCGGTTCAGGTTTAATATTTTAAAAATTTTAAACCGTCGAATCTGTAAACCGGCAGTTCAATGAACCGGCCAGGCCTAGGATAAAGTAGTTGTCTGCTTTCAATTTAAAAAACGCAGCCGTTGACCGTATCTGGCCATTACAATCATCGTAAAAGGCCCAAAGGTTTCTTGCGTTGACTCCAGCGATGCTTAACAATGGGGAAAATGAAAAAAGGAAATCCATTCCTCAGTCAAAGAACATTACAGCAGTGTCAATACATGGAGTTCTTCTAAGAAAAGGGGCGAATATGAAATACTAGGATTTCCTAGTGGTCGAGAAAATCCTAACGACAGCACCCAGAACCCCATAAAAAAGACATATCACGGAGTCTGTTTTCGCATTAACAGCTATTGCTCTCTCTCTCCCTTCTTCCTCTTCCTCCTACGTAGGAAATTAGAAGGAGAGGGCCAAATATGTACAGGCTATGCAGTTACAGATATTATGCTATTTGTGAAACTCCTTTGTGCGATTCCACCAACTTCCATACGTTGAGCATTCCTGTTCTATCACCAGAGAAAAATAGGCCATATGGACCGACATGCAATGTTCCAATTTCTCTTTTTGAGAAAATTCTGCCCCTGTCATTGAATCTAAACAAGAAATAAATCAGTGTTCATAAGACTAAAAGACTGGTAGACACTTGACAGGCAGATAGTTATTGGGTCGTTAAGTGTACTTACGATGGCAGGTCATACAGACGAACCGAATTGTCATTACAAGAGCATAACAAAATTGGTTTGGCTTCTGTATCGTATATCCCACAAAGAGCAATAGCACCCTGTAACAAGGAAGCATTTTGCCATGAAAATTAGTTCATTACTACCACAATGTTCATTAAATAAAATTTATTCACAAAAAAAAAAAAAAAAAGCAGCAGTGGAAGGAATCAAACAATCAACAACAAAGATCCATAAGAAGAAGGATCAATTCACTTTTAACAAATACTTCCTCTTGGGAGTTTTTAAGACAAGACAGTAAAAAGCAACAAAGATTTTATTCCAAAGAAAATTATGAAAGATTTGACTCAAAACATTTAACATTTAAAACTTTGCACATAATTTCTCAGTATAAAAAGGGGTTAGGCACACTTGATCAATCCTACACCAGACACAAAGGAAAAATAATTCTACTTAAAACTACTTAAATAACTTACATGTTCCTCGTTATGTGTATAGATCACTTCTAAGTTGCCCTCTTCAGTAGCAGCCCAGACTTTTATTGTCTGATCCAATGAACAAGATAACAGATACAAAAGATTTTAGGATTATGAAAGATTTGACTCAAACATTTAACATTCTGCACGTATTTTCTCAATATGAAAAAGTGCTAGGCACACTTGGTCAATCCTACACCAGACAGAAAGGAAAAAAAAAATCTACTTAAAACTACTTAAATAACTTACATGTTCCTCGTTATGTGTATAGATCACTTCTAAGTTGCCCTCTTCAGTAGCAGCCCAGACTTTTATTGTCTGATCCAATGAACAAGATAACAGATACTCCTCCCAGCAAATAAGAGACATCACAGCATCAGTATGCCCATTTAGAGTATGAATACACTGTAAAGTACTGAGATCCCACACCTGAGAAGGGGAATAGTATAAATTAATATAACGACAAAAACAATCAACTCCTGAAATTAGAATATCAAAATAGATTTAGCATGAAGAATTAACCCTATATCAAGGGGCAAATTGCTTTCAAACATCACTTGGATGCACTAGTGGTGTCCAAATTTTAACTCAAATTGCAAATTAGTAGGCCAATGACAATGCACTCTATCACATAAGCATCCTATCATGTAGAATTCAGATATGTATTTGAGCTGCAAAAGTTTACTATTGCAGCAATCCAAGTGCTTGGAAGTGTTGCTATCTCAGTGATGTTTTGCAAGAGGTAAGGCCACTGCACTGTGTAGCCAAATCCATGGTTCCCAACACACTGCCAAAATAATTTTTTGAAAAAAAAAATATTGCAAAAAAGAGTTGATACTGGGTGCTTTCAATCACCCGTAATCAAAACTATACAAAGCCACAACAAAAACTCAGAGCATAAAGTAGCAACTAAAAACTCTTATTCGCCTTACTCTTATTGTATTGTCCATGGAACCAGAGTACAGCCTTTTATCTCCAACAGTTACGCATGTCACTGTGCCAGTGTGGCCTTTCAAAGATTTGGCCAGTTGAAATGGAGCCATTGGGTTCTCAGTACTACCCTTCCATGCCAAAATGGAACCATCCTACAAACCCAGAGAAAAAACAAAAATTGAATACTCCATTTGAGATGAAAATAAAGAATATTATATAGAAGAAAACTTCTCCTATATAAAATAACAAATAAACATGCACATCGACACACATAAGAAGGAAACTTCCAAATACCACGCATACAAGCATTCAGTATTAGTAATAACGCTTTAGCAACAACTAAATGCATCAGCTCAAAGTTACCCCAATAACATACAAAAACAAAAATATGAACAGATTATAGAACAATCACTCAGATTACCTGTGCCCCAGCAAAAAGCATATCAACAGCAACATCCATAGCAAAAACTTGCCCAACTGGTTCATCGAGACTAAATTCAGCCCCTGTTTCGAGGTTCCATGCCTGGAATATCACATATAAAACCTCCCTGAGCTCAGAATCACAACTAATCTAGATAGATGAAGCATTCCAAAAAAATTTTAACCAACCTTAACACAATTTGGCAAGCCAACAAATATCCACGGGCCTTCACTAATTAAAGTCCCAATTCTGGCACCAAGATTTATAACCTTTGTAGACTGACCAGTATGGCAATCCCAAACATGTACAGTTCCATCATTGCTACCTGAGTACAGCTTGTCAGATCCTGAAGGAAGTGCAATTCCAGAGACGGCCTGGCAAACAAAATATCATCAATGAAATTCAGCCATATTTCATTCAGCCAATCATAAAAATATGCCATCTGTGTAAGGAGGAAACTTGTGTGCACTGAATTTTCAGCACAAGTTTATTTCCATTTAAATAGAATAGAGTTTACTTTAAGCAGGTTAGATAAAATTACATTTATATGTGATTGGCTGTTCATTAAGACCATTTTTACAGACCAGTGTGAAAAATTAAAAACCACAAACAAATGACTCTGAAGTCAAAGAAACAAGTCGCTCACATATGATTACCTGACTATGCCCCTGGAGCTTTGTCAGCATTGAGAACCAATTTCCATCAGACCATGAATGCAAGAACTGGCACCCATCACCTTCAACACAAGTCCCTGACATCCAGTGCTCGCAAGACTTTTTTGAGCTCTTCTTGATAGTTTTACCTTCAGCAACATCACCTCCAGATTTTGAAGGTGACGGATTCTCAGGGCATTTCCTGCATACTGTTATCGTCTTCATATTCACCTCCTCTGTTCTAGAAGTGGGGCTCTCACGAGAACATCTATATTCAGATCCACCAACTCTAGTGGTTGAACCCAAAGGGTTCTTAGAATTGAAGCGTTTCCTAGGTGGATCCTCAATGACATGGTTGGAGATCTTCTGAGCTCTTTTCTCCTCAGACCCACCACTGAAATCCGCTGAATCATTAAGACTATAGCTGAAGCTCCTCTTTGGTCGTTCCACCAGTGAAACACTTGTTTGCTTAGGAGTTCTATGGTAAACTTTAGGAGGTGGTGATTCTCTGTGCATGAACCGACAAGGATTCCTGTTACACTTTCCCACCTTCCAAAAATGGCAAACAACATTGGTTTGTGCAGGTCCTCCTCCAAGTCTTCCAGGAACGGTCGCGATCTTAGTATCCATACTAGAAAGACAAAACACAATAGCAATGAATAAGTGATAACTCACGGATGCTATTTCAATGAATATCCAGAATTTCTGGCTATTCTGCTTGCGCTGACCCCTTAAACATGATCAGAACGAAAGTCTCTGAACGGTGTCAGAGGAAGCATTATAAAAGATACTAAAACAAATTAGCTGATTTCTGGATTCTTTACAGTTCAAGAAATTGGGTGATTCCCCACATAACGAACCCTAAGAGAAAAGCTAGACAGAGATCAGCCAGATAAAAGCCAGAAACCCATATGATATCCACATGATGAAATGAGATCTTCATTATCTCTTGATTCCACACCATCAAAATCCAAAAATCGCCATTATCAAACCAGAACGAGACAATCGATGCTCTAACCCCCTAATCCGCAACCAGACATAACCCAGAAATTCGATATCCAATCGCCGATCCTACGGCAAAAGCTAATGAAAATAAAAATATATCTGAAAAGGAAATCCTAAAAATCCACCAAGGACAAGCAAATAAGCCAAGTTTGATAATCATCATCACCGTAACCGATTCCTTGACGATCAGAGCTTCTTCGCAATCCATTAATGGTGGATAATGAAAAAGAAACCCGTAAACACAGATTGCAGAGACACGTTCAATTAAGAAGCAAACCTGAGTATATAAAAATCACAGAAGGCAGATCAAGTTCAAGAAATCCTGTGACGATATGATCGATCGACGATCACTGTGACGCAATTGAGAGAAGGCAAGGAGAGGGATGCGTCAGTTTTACGTTTTGAGCAACCAAACATCGTATGCGTAGTAACTATATATAGGCTTCTGTCTGGGCCGGGTTTGAATTTCGAAATTAAAATTTAAAAAAATTTTAATTCCTTTATTTCAATTCAAATAATGCTAATTCATTTTCTTCAACTCAAGTAATGTTAATTATTTGATCTCTTTTTTCCCTTTTTTTACATTTCAGATTTTTTAATTTTTTTGTGCAATTTTTATGGTTTCTCTTTTTTTTCTGTGCATCCTGTGATTTCTCTTCTCTTTATTATGCATGTATGAGAAATATTATGTCGATGAGATGAAGAAAAAGAAAAGATAACTATTATTCCATTTATGTATTTTTTTAATTTATTATATTTTTAGTAGATTGTAGAAAATTGTAAATTTTTTTATTCGTTGCTTTATTTCATATATATGTAAATTTTAATTATTTATAATTTTTTAATTCACGTAATCATATATATATTTTTCTACAATTTATTAAGTCAGCAAATTGCATGATTTGAATATTTAAATTTTGAGAAAGTTTCACTAAAATTGGGTAGAGAAATATAAGTATAATTTATATTTATTTACTTTATTTATTTATTTATTATTTGAAATTTAAAATTTTTGAGAAAAGTTTCACCTAAATTGGGTAGAGAAAATTAAGTAATAATTTTATATTTATTTACTTTTATATTATTTATTTATTGAATCTCTTTATTTTAAAAGTTAATATATATTATAGCAAGTGAACCATTTTACACCTACCTATAGTTAAAATAATATTTATTTATTTAAATTTTCATTATTATTATATCAATAATTATAATTTTAAAAATTAATATTCCATTAACAATAATAATCTATATCTATATTATCAATTTAAATTTTTATTTTTTTATTTGATCATTTTATATATACTTTTTTTATGTTTAAAAAATTATTATTTATTTAAAATAATTAACTATATTTATATTTGAATATTTTTGATCATTTAAAATACTTTTTATGTTTAAAAATTATTATTTATTTAAAATAATTAACTATATTTATATTTGAATATTTATTATTTTTTAGTTTTATATTGAATTGTTTATTTTTTGTGTCCTTTATTTAGAATAATTATCTACTTTTACCCATCTATATATATAGATGGAATTTTATCATATGTCTTTCAAATTTGTAATTATACATATCTATATTTATAAGTAATGCTTATTGTTTAGAGCGTGATATTGTATGTATTTATTTACTATATATATTTGTGTGTATCTTTTATAAGTTTTCTATTTGCTGCTTTTTATTCTTTGAAGTTGTAGGATTTAATTTTATATGTGCAATGAAAAGTAACATCTAATCAATTTAAAATAACAAATTAATAAAATAATCCATGCAATATGCGGGCCTCTCCCTACAATATTTTCTTTTTTTTTTTTAATTCAAATTTTTTATTGCCATGGATATAAAGGAAAAATCTCAAATTAAGTTGCCTATTATTATTTTGATAGTTTCTTGAATTTATTTTGTTTCTATTACAGATTCGAGATTGATATCCAGTTGATGATTGTAAAATTCCCATAATGATAGTGTTACATAAACAGAAGGGGAGGCAGGAGCTTGAGATTTAAGTTTAAGTGTCTTTTTTATTTGGTAGATTTAAATTATTCATTGTCTTTGTAAATGACTATCTTTCTTATGGAATTATTACATGGAGGAAGCTGAGAAGCATGTGAAGCATGCATCTACAGCTAAGAAAAAAAACAAAGCTTTGAAGCCTATTGCACAAATATTGCAACAACGGAAAGTAAAAGACCAAAATGGAGGTCCAATTGGAAAATCTTGTGGGTTATAATATTTGTTTTTATGATAATAATCATCAAAATTATAATATTTATTTTCATAATTGACGTCTATTTCTTTATTTTGAAGTCGAGTAATTCATTTTAAAAACTCTGACCTTTGTGTTTTCTTTCAATTGCATCCCATTTTGACCTTAATCCCTTGGACACCTCAATTTCCAAGGTTTGTATTAATTGAACCCCAATTTGAAACCAGGGTCTAAAAAAATACTAAACAATTTACCTGTGGGACCCAGAGACTGACACAAGGGTTAAACTAACTAAGCTATTAACCCACCCAAAAAACAACGTCGTTTCCACTTAAGAAAAAGAAAACCCTAAAACTAAAAACACCTACGATTGCTTCGCCCTTTACCCAAAATCCTAAGAGAGGAAAACTAGATTTGGGATTAAGTTACCAACTAGAAATCAAATATTTTCATAATCTAAAATGGGTATGTCAAAAAATCCTATTTTGAATAGAAACTTTAGGAGACAAAGCCATAAGGAGTGATTTTGAGCTATTTGCAAGGGTTTCTGCAAACTGCATATCTATCTTTCTTATGGTAAATCAAGAGAGAATTAGGAGCATTGATGGTGTTTTTGCCAATCAATATGAGGCGTGAGAATCTAAGAGAGGAAAGGAGAAGTTGGAGATGATCGAACTTGGTGGAAAAAATCCAATCAGATTCACGACCTTGAGCGACAAAAACAGCAGTGACTCAATTGGTTCGATAGGTGAATTGAGAATGATAATTCGAAGGAGTTGGGTGAGGGATAGTGAAGGAATAACGAGAGGGAAATATTGTTTCGAAGATTGAACTGTCAAGTACCATGGTGCTGGTTTTTTGTTTTCTTCGTGGTGCTTGTTTCCCGTAGTTAGGAGGATGAAGCAATGGTGGGTTATTTTTTTGTTTTAGGGTTTTCTTTTTCTGAAGTGGAAACGACGTCGTTTTTTGGGTGGATTAATGGGTTAGTCAGTTTAACCCTTGTGCCAGTCTCTAGGTCCCATAGGTGAATTGTTTAGTATTTTTTTAGACCCTGATTTCAATTGGAGTTGAATTAATACTGAACTATGAAATTGGGGTGTTAGGGATTAAGGTCAAAACGGGATGCAATTGAAAGAAAACGCAAAGATTAGGATTTTTCAAACGAATTACTCTTTTGAATTCACACATGCCATATGGCAGTTTGATAAAGCAAACCGTGAAAAAATATATCTTATAATAATATAATAAATATAATTTATAAATTTATATATTATAAATACGGATAATTTATAAATTATAAATTACGAGCTATTAAAGCAATTCGTGCAAAGTACGAATCTTTATCTAGTTATAAATAAATGAATGCAAAAATAAAATTAAACTGTCAAATCTAAAACTAATATAAAAAAAAAATATTCCTCTGCAGGATGGTCCGTTCCAATTCACTAGCGGGAGCTCCACTATTTCTGCTTCTAATATTCCAGGTTTTTCTCGTACCTCTAAATTTTTGAATAAAAAAGTTACCTCCACTAAGTCCGTTATATCCAGTTCTCCATCTACCTAGAAGGACTAGTCTTCTAATCCTAAACTCCCCCTTGTGCTAACGCCCCTCACCCATCATCCCTTGATTCTTGATTTTGATTATGTCTCTACCCATCAGCTCCCTGTTATTGACCCCGTTACTACAGTACCCAGCTCTAAACTATCCTGAACAACTCCCAATTCCTGACCAGCATCCCCCTTTGAATACCCCTTCTACTCCTAATATTCTGTCCACCTGGAAACACCCAGTTAGAAATTCATCCAATATTTATATGACAGAGGTAGAAATGGTTTCAAGAAAAAGGAAGGATAATGACTTGGATTTGATGGTTCTTGGATCCCCTAAGAAAAGGAAGGTTCTGCTTTTAAAACAATTTGACCAGAACTTTGAGATATCGGCAGTGGCTGCTAGGCAATACTGTCGGAAGCCATGAGTTATTTAGTATGGAACTGCAGAGGGCTTGGGAACCCTCATGCAGTTCGGTCAGTCAAGCAACTTTTTAAGCTGGAAGATCCCACTTTTGTCTTTTTGATGGAGACAAAGTTGTTTGGTCATGAGATGCAGGCTGTTCGTAATAAATGTGGTTTCTTTAATGGGGTTGATGTGGACTGTGCAGTAGTGAATGGTAGAAGAGGTGGCTTAAGTCTGATGTGGAAGAGTTCTGTGGCAATTTCTTTACTTTCCTTTTCTTTGCACCACATTGATGTTGAAATTGAAAATAAACGGCGTTTTACTTGTTTTTATGGTGGACCTAAAGATCATTTGTGACATCATTCTTGGAGTTTGTTGGATCTTCTTTAAAATAATTCCTCTCTACCATGGGTGGTGGGTGGGGATTTTAATCAAGTTATGTTTCAATTTGAGAAATTGGGTGGTCGGGATAAGGATCCTAGGAAATTGGTGGGTTTCTGTAATTGTATTGATTATGTAATCTCACTGATCTTGGCCTTACTAATTTCAGGTTTACTTGGAGCAATGGGCAAGGGGGGAGAATATTATACAAAGGCTTGATAGATTTGTTCGGATGGTGGACTGGTTTCTTCTATTTCCATCTTACAAAATTGCAAACCTTACCCGTTCTGGTTCTGATCATTATCCGATTAAGTCGACATGGATGTGTAAGATTTCGAGAACTAGGAAGAAATGGCCATTTCGGTTTGAACAAATGCGGTTATGTGATCAATCTGTGCATGATGCGGTGAGAGAGGCATGGCAGTCTGTAGATTCAATTCCTAGTCCGAGTTTACTCGAGAATAAAATCACTGCTTTTGGTAAGCATTTGAAATGATGGGAGTTAAGCAGGTTTGGATGTGTCGAAATCCCTTCATATATTGCTGGAAGAGTTGGCGATTTTACAAAGTAGGCACCACTCAGTTGAAAATGTGAATTGTCAAAAATGTATTGATTCTCAAATAAAGGAATTACTTGCTAGAGAGGAACTTATGTGGGCTCAAAGGTCTAGACTTCAATGGCTTAAGGAAGGGATAAAAATACTACTTTTTTCCATTATAAAGCTAATTTTAGACAGAAGAAGAACTCTATTGATTCCATTAGGGATAAGGGTGAGATATTATATACTAATGAAAAGGATATTGATTCAATCATGACTATATACTTTACAGGTCTCTTTTCTTCTGTGGATCCACCTGATTATACTGATGTCCTAGACTCTATAGATAAATCAATCTTGGATTAGATGAATGGAATTTTGCTTCGTCCTTTCTCCAGAGAAGAGATTTGTCTTGCTCTCAAACAAATGCGTCTTACTTCTGCTCAGGATCATGACGATATGTCTCCTATTTTTTTCCAAACCTTTTGGCATATTGTTGGTAGGGATGTTAAAGATAAAGTTTTGTCTCTTCTTAATGCCAATGAGTCTCCAGCATCTATTAATCATACTTTCATCTCTTTGATTCCTAAAATTAAAAATCCAGAATTTACCTAGAATTTTAGACCTATTAGCCTTTGTAACTATAGGAAATCCCGCTCCGTGTATTCCTTTAGAATAAGCTTATATACATGTGTAGTATTATGTAATTACAAATATACCACTAACTCAATTTACATAGCCAAAATATACATCAGTACATAGTCTAACAATAAGCTTATATACATGTGTAGTATTATGTAATTACAAATATACCACTAACTCAATTTACATAGCCAAAATATACATCAGTACATAGTCTAACACTCCCCCGCAGTCAGAGCGGGAGTTTCACGAACGCAGAGACTGGATCTGAAATCATCAAACAGGATTCGTGGTAAGCCTTTTGTGAAAATATCGGCCACCTGAAATCGGTATGGAGTATGTTGAACTCTGACTTGCCCACGAGCAACCTTTTCACGCACAAAATGAATATCCATCTCTATATGCTTTGTTCGCTGATGCTGTACCGGATTACTAGACAAATAAACTGCACTAACATTATCACAGTAGACCAATGTGGCTAAGCTAATCGGCACCTTTAACTCCAATAGTAATTACTCCAATAGTAAAATTTGCGAACCAACACAGATTCTGCAACACCAGTAGCGACTCCACGATATTCAGCTCAGCGCTGGAGCGTTTGATAATGTCGCGTTGTCTTTTAAAAGACCAAGATATCATATTATCACCAAGAAAAAACACAATTATCACCAAGAAAAACACAATAGCCAGAAGTGGAGCGTCTAGTATCAGGACAACCACCCCAATCAGCATCGGAGTAAGCTGTAAGACATGAAAAAGGGGAGTTCGAAAGGTGCAAACCATAAGAAAGAGTGCCTTTGAGATACCTCAAAATTCGCTTCAAAGCACTCATATGAGCCGTTGTTGGATTGTGCATATGTAAGCAAATTTGTTGAACAGCATAAGACAAATCCGGTCTAGTGAATGTGAGATATTGAAGAGCACCAGCTAGACGACGATATAAGAGAGGATCATCATATGAAGAACCAGAATCAGTACTGAGTTTCAGCTTGGTGTCAACAGGCGTCGAGACAGATTTGCAACTAGACATGCCTGCTCTGTCAAGAATTTCTGCAGCATACTTACGCTGAGAAAGGAATAAACCGGAGGAGTTTCGGTGAACAGAGATGCCCAAAAAGTAATTCAAAGGACCCAAGTCTTTCATGGCAAACTCTGAAGACATCAAAGACATAATAGATAGCCGAAGCTTTTCGGAAGAAGTGGTGAGAATAATGTCATCAACATGGTCATCAAAACATAGAGCAAGAAGATACGCCAAATGCATCCCCTTTGCTATAAAATGAAGTGGAATGATCAGATTTGCTGTGAATACCAATAAGTAAGAGCATAATCAGCAAACCTTTGGTACCAAAGCTCGTGGAAGTTGTTTAAAAACCGTATAAAGATTTGCGAAGGAAGGCAAACATAATCTGGATGTGTCCGAATCCTTAAATCCCAAAGGTTGATACATGTAGACTGTTTCACTTAAATTCCAATGCAGAAATGCATTTTTGACATCCAGTTTGAAATTTTAATACACCACCCGTTTTGAACAGGAGACTGAGTGACAGTGCGAATGGTAGCCGGTTTACAACTGGCTGAAAGTTCTCATCACAATCCACACCAACCTGTTTGGATCTGCCATCGACACAAGACGAGCTTTGTATCGCTCAAAAAGAACCATCAGACTTAGTTTTGAATGCGAAAAACCCCCACATAGACCGAAACCCACCATTAGCATTGGTAGGACGGGGTACCAACTCCCCACGTCTTATTTTAATTAAAGCAGCATATTCATCAATCATTGCAGCCTTCCAATTTGGATCGTTTAGGGGCAGCAAGTTGGGCTATTAGGTAGGGTGAAGAAAGACGAAGAGCAACAAATTAAAATGCTTCTTTAGGACGGGTGATGCATGGCATACTGCTGCGGGTGGTCATGGTTCGGACTGGAGGCAGGATGGAGGTTGGTGTAACAGGTTGTGGTGGCTGTGGAGAAACATTTTCAGATGGGACGGGTTGCGTGACCATAGGTGAAGGAGAAGATGACAATGGAGGTGGAGAAGATGTGGAGTTTTGTAAATGAAATTGTAATAAGGGATGAACACTGTCATCCAAAAAGTGATAGGTAGATGGAAACTGAGGTTTGACGGAAGCGAAGGGAAAAATTGACTCATCAAAAGAAACATGCCTAGAAAGAATGATTTTGTTTGTGGACAAATCATAACACTTGTAACCCCTATGATTAGTCGGATAACCAAGAAAAACACAAGATGTAGAACGAGGTTGGAGTTTATGAATAGTAGGAGAGGGATATGATAGTAGGAAGAGGGAAACAAAGGAAAAACACAAACACCCCAAAAACTTCGTTAATGACTGTAAGATGGAACCCGGCCATAGGAGAGATTGTAGGGATGAAAAAATTAAAAATTTTTTGTGAAGGAACATATTGTCAATAGTAGGCCATTTGCAAAGCCAATGAGCCAAAAAAGAAAGGAGCCCATGGAAGATTGAGAGATAAGTAATGGTTCTAAACCATGTTATTTATGGTGCGGATTTTTCCGTTCGGCTTTTCCCCATTTTTGGAGAGGATGTAAAGGACATGAAAATCGAAAACTCATACGCATTTCACATGACAAAATTGTTTGAAATTGACTTATTTCAATATTCATATTGGCAATTGTCACACTGTAACACATTATTTTACTACCAAATTGGGTCTCGATGAACACAGAAAATGATTGAAAAATTTGGAAGACTTGTGATTTTCGGCTTAATTGGGAAAGTCCACAAAAATCCGGTATAATCATCAAGAAACAAAACATATACCTTATGACCAGCAGAACTCAATATAGGGGAGTCCACACATCACTATGAATAATAATCAAAAGGCATAAGAGTATTAGAATTGGAATCTGAAAAAAGGTAAATCGAGCTTGTTTTCCCAAAAACACAAGAATGAACACTATTAGAAAAAGAAAAATTACAATCAATTAATTTATTTCTATAAAGATATTGTAAAAGAGGAGGTCCCGGGTGCCCCAATCTACGATGCCATAAATCAGCGGACAAGGTAACAAAAGCCAATGGTGAAGACTTTGAGAGACTTGAAGGAAAACTGCTAGTTATTGGATATAAATCCCCAACGCTATTACATCTCATGAGAAGACTCCCCATCCATAAATCCTTCACAGAAAACCCAAAAGGATCAAACTCAACAGTGACATGATTATCAATAGTAAAACGACGGACAGAGACTAGATTTTTAATTATTTTTGGTGCATGGAGAACATTAGATAAACATAAAGGAGGGTGGGGTGGTTTAAGGTAAGCATGCCCATGCAATGCCCATATCCTGCAATTGGTATTTTCCTGTCCACTAACCAACAATAACATCATTCATTTTTAACTGCTTCAAATTAAAATAAGACGAGAGAGTACCCGAAGAAGATGTCATAGCGAGGTAGCTCCTGTGTCCATTGAGCCAAGGTTCTTCAGGTGGATTGAAGACATACTTTGCATAGCAGCATCATGTCCGTAGGTTGCAATAGGCCAGAAAGAAGATGCCAGTATAGGCCTGCGGTGGACGAGAACCAAGTATGCCAGGTTGACGAGCAGATGGGCGTGCCCAAGCAGTGGTTGGATAAGGACATGGTGGAGGAACAGCCCAAGCTTGCTGCCCCCATGCAGGCCAAGGAGGATAAGCCGACCAAGGATAATAAGGTGGTTGTTGCTGATGAGAAAAATTATTGTTAAATTGCTGCCCACCTGATTGATTATTTCCTTGGCGATTACAGCCAGAATTCTGATTGCTATTATTATTTCGTCCTCTGCCGCGTCCATTATTGCCTCTCCTGCGATAATTATTAGGGTTGCGAGACTGTCCTCTACGTTGCCCAGTATAATTACGAGGAGCAGTATTGGTGTTGTCTGAAATAGCAACACGAGAAGAAGAAGAATTTTCCTCTCTGAAATAGCAACACGAGAAGAAGAAGAATTTTCCTCAGTAACACCTGTAGTAAAAAGTGCAGTGCCAGTGGCAGCAGAAGCAGTGGCAGCCTGCTTAGCCTCCCTTAAGCCTTGCGTGGTTTCTTCAAGAATCAATTTTTGATCGTGCTTCATAAAAGAGAGGCAACGGGTCACTTTGCTGAAATTAATGGTTGCTACATCCATCAATATGCTACACCATCATAAGCCTCATTTAATCCAGCAATCAATTGAAGAACAAGGCGTTGGTTTGAAACAGGGGCACCAACATTTGAAAGCTGATCGGAGAGCATTTTGAGCTCTTGACAATAAGCAGAAATATTTGGAAAATCGTCCAACAGAACATGAGAAAATTGGTTTTCCAAATATAACGCACGAGAATTCTTATTGTCTTGGAAAATACCTTTCAGACGATCCCAAGCATTTTGAGCAGTGGAATCCGTTTCCAAAATAGTATTGAGAAGATCAACAGAAATTGTCCCATAAATCCATTGAAGAACTGTAGCATCCAATTGAGACCGCAGTCTTGGATCGACTTCAGTAGCAAGTAGCCGTAGAAAGATTCCTTGTACCTTTATCAGATGACAGGGTGGAAATAATGAAATCGAGAAACTTTATAGGCAACGAACAATTGAATTTGAAGGAACAATTACCCGCCCAGAGGATATTGCCCCCCTTTTCAGTCCTCAAGAAGATTTTGGAATAAAATTTCCGGATATTGTTAACAGCAAGGGCTTGGAATGGAGAAATCATGCTTGCCTGCCATGGGTTAGAAAAAGAGAAAGAAAAGGAGATAGAAAGATGGAAGAAAAAGAACTAGGGTTTAGAGAGAGAGCGGCTTGAAATTGCCGGTGCTTCTGATACCATATAGGAAATTCCCACTCCATGTATTCCCTTTAGAATAAGCCTTATATAACATGTGTAGGTATGTTATGTAATTACAAATATTAACCATAACTCAATTTATCATAGCCAAAATATACATCACGTACATTTAGAATAAGCTTATATACATGTGTAGTATTATGTAATTACAAATATACCACTAACTCAATTTACATAGCCAAAATATACATCAGTACATAGTCTAACAGTAACATCATCTTTAAATTAGTCACTAAATCAATGGCTAATAGGTTTAAATGTATTCTTCCCTCTATTATTAATGACACTCAGTTTCCTTTCGTTACGTGTAGACATATCACTGATAATGCACTTGTTAATCTTAAAACTTTCCATTTCCTAAAAAATAAGCATTCAGGTAGGTGTATGTTTGCTTTTAAGTTGGATATGAGTAAAGTCTATGATAGAGTGAAATGGCATTTTCCGCATAATATTTTACTTAAGATGCGTCTTAATTTGAGATGGGTGGATTTGATCATGAAGTGTGTGTCTTCTGTTTCCTACTCTCTGATTATTAATGGCGAACCTAAAGACACTTTTTTTCCCTCACAAGGTTCTCCGTCAAGGGAATCCTATATCGCCCTACCTTTTTGTTGTTATGTGTTGACGTGTTTTCAGGTCTCATTCGTAAGGCAGAACATGCTTGATTGCTTCATGGTGCTAGAGTTTATCGTCGCTCCGGCTGTTTCACACCTTTTCTTTGCAGACAACAGCTTAATTTTTGGTCAAGCGACTATTCTAGAAGTAGAAGCTGTGGCCAAAATCATCTTGGACTATGAACGGCCATCATGACAAAAGATTAATTTTGAGAAATCGGAGATTTCTTTTAGTCCTAGTGCTTCGGTCTATATTCAGGAATTTTGTAAAGTTCTGACTGCGGGTTAAGGAAATTGATCGTCATTCGAAATATTTGGGTTTGCCAGCAGTTATTGGAAGGAGATAAGAAAGTGGTTTTTCAGTCGATTTCTGATAGGGTTGGTCACAAATTAGAGGGTTGGAAAGAAAAGACGTTGTCTCGAGCAAGTAAGGAAATCCTTTTGAAGGCGGTTGCCAAAGCTATTCCTAGCTACTCGATAAGCTGCTTCCTCTTCTCCCTTGAAACCTGTAAGCAAATCGAGTCCTCCATGGCCTCGTTTTGGTGGGGGCAACAAAAAGAAGAGAGACGTATCCGCTGGTCTTCTTGGGACAAGCTGTGTTTTGCTAAAAATAAGGGTGGTATTGGTTTTCATGATCTCCATGCTTTTAATATTACTCTTTTGGCAAAGCAAGGATGGCGACTAATTAAGTTTTCGAATTCTCTAGTAGCTCGGGTTCTCAAAGCCAAGTACTTTCCGACTCCTTGTTTTCTTGATTCTTATTGGGGTTTTCACCCTAGTTATGTCTGCAAAAGCATTTTTGAAGCTAAATGGATTATTGAAAGAGGTAGTAGATGGCGTGTTGGTAATGGTGCTGATATTGGTATTTGAAGGGATAAGTGGCTGCCTAGTGGCTTGAATCATCAAGTGTCGTCTCCGGTTTATCTCCTACATGAGAATGCTACTGTTAAAAGAATCATTAATTTTGATTCATTGTCCTAGAATTCTAATCTTGTTAATGCTATTTTTTCACCACAGGATGCTATGCAGATTTTCTCTATTCCCCTTTATATTCATAGGCGTCGAGACTCTTTAATTTGGTCCCTCTCTAAGGATGGCCAATATTCAGTTAAATCTGGCTACCATCTTTATTTTCTGGAGTTCCAGGCTCATATGCAAGGCTTTTCTTCTTAAGGCAGATCTGATGGTGTATGGAGTGAGCTATGGAAGCAACGTGTTCCTGCAAAAGTGAAGCATCTGGTCTTTCGAGCTTGCAAACATCAGCTTTCGGTTCGAGAAATGGATATTGACCCAGCCTATCCTATTTGTGGTAACAGTTCTGAGTCTGTGGTTCACATTCTGAGGGATTGTGTTGTTGCTAGTCTCATTTGGCGGTCGTGCCCACTGCGTCTTGATATCTCTTTGTCGCCTGATTTGTCTTTTATGGAATGGTTCTTCAATTTGCTCAAGTCCTTTGCGAATGAACGAGTGGAAGTTCTATGGTCAATTTGGAAAGCTCGTAATGCAAAATTATTTCAGAGCAAGCAACTCTCTGAGTCGCAAAATGTTTCTATGGGACTGGGGTGCCTCCATGACTTTCTTGCTGCAAATGATTCCTCGATCCCACAGGTTTCAGTGTCTTAGATTATTAATAAGTGGGCCCCTCCTCATCCTCACTTGGTGAAGGTAAACACTGATGCTTCTGTCTTTAATGGGCAAGGTTGTGGTCTCGGTTTCGTGGCTAAAAACCACAGGGGGGAAGTGTAGCTACTGGTAGTTGTAGGTTACCGCTGAACTTATTCGCTGATCATGCAGAGGTTGAAGTTGCTGTATTCGGTCTACGATCTATGTTAGAGCAGGGTTCTATTCTATCATCCTTGATTCTGATGCACTGGCTATTGTACACCTTGTTTGCTCTCTATATGTCCCTGGTACATATTATGGGACTATGTTTTTATCTTTGTTTAGTTTGATTTCTAGTTTTACTCATTTTAGTTTTGTCCGTGTGCGTAGAGGTGGCAACCAGGTGGCACACGAGTTGTCTAAACATGCACCATTTTCTTTTGACTCCTCTGTGTGGATAAAAGAAGTCCCTTCTTCTATTGTTCCTCTTGTTCTGTTTGAATCTTATTAATTCAAGGCAATTTTTCATTCTAAAAAAAACAAAAAAAAAATCAATATAAATATAGATAATTATTTTAAATAAGTAATAATTTTTAACTTTTTTGTGAGAAAGTAATAATTTTTAACCTATCTTAAGTGATCCAATAAAAAAAATTTAAAATTCAAATTAAAATATAGATGTAGATATTACTATAAATGGATATTAATTTTAAAATATAATTATTAGATATAATTTTTTAATATTTAGAGAATAAAATTAGAATTTAAAGAAGAATATCATGTTAAATATAATTGATAAGATATCTAAATTTCTTTTAATTTATTAAATGTATTTTTTTTTAACTTATTAGATTTTTTGAATAGTTGGATTCTCTGAATGAACCAAATTTAATTTAGTTTATTAGATGTTATCTTATTAACTTCATTTGTTATTTTAAATATATTTATTGAATTTAATGTTTATTTTCTTTTCCTTGTAAATCAATTATGTAAATGTTTACTTTCTTATATAACTTCAATAGTTAAGTGATTTCTTTTTAATCTTCTATCCTAACAAGTGATTTCTTTTTAATCTTCTATCCTAACAAGCAAAACAGATAAAAAAAAAGGCAAAATAATAATAATAACAATAATAATAATAATAAATATTGATCTTTCATTCTTAAGCATAAAAGTTATAGAGACAAGTTGAAGAAATTATTATTAAACATACTCGAAATCATACAACTAATTAAGATAAAAAATAAAAAGTATTTTCCTAAAAAAAATTTTGTAACACTCACTGCCTGGTCCTGAAGAATTAGACGGTGGATGCCACATTCGGTGCAAGAGGCACCGTTCTAGCTAACCGATTATACCTAAAACTAATATATGAATTAAGAGTGATTAAGCATTCACTAGTCCAGTAAGTCTTAAATTTTAACTTAGAAAATATTTTGGAAAATCTTACAGAAAAATTGTAAGAGTCTCCCCTAAAAACTGGACTTATTAAAAACCTGGAATTCAAAATACTCATAATTCAAAATCCTCAACCAACAACTCCAATATAATCAGATTCAATTCAATCTCAATTATTATACATGCATATGCCCTTTTATTCATTAACAACCGTATCATTCTCATAAGACACTCATAGTCATAAATATTCTTCAAAGCAATTTCCATAACCATTTATACATAAGTAACTTGAATTTCATTTTCACAACTTAATATTTCACAACCCATAATTAATAAACTTATACAAGCTTCTAATACAAATTCCACACGTAGATCTCATAATAAGTACATTCTCCAATAGTCTTAAATTATACATGCCAATTTTTTTTTTTTTTTTTTTTTTTTAACAAGCTTCCTAATACAAATTCCAACAACGTAAGATCTCATATAAGTACATTCTTCGCAATAGTCTTAATTATACATGCCAATTTTTTTTTTTTTTTTTTTTTTTTTGGATAAGCGAGGATCAATATTATTAAAAGGTAGAGAAAAGTATTTACACACATGAGCGTCTTGGGCAACAAAAACAATCTCATTGTGACTAGGAAAAACAGGATAGCTGAAAAACTATAATCAAAAGCAATCTCAGCACCTCAGAGTATGCCCAAACAAGCAAAACATAAACAAACGAAACAAGCAAGCTTAGCAGTGAACCAATAACAGATCCCAGCAACGCCAAAACTGAAGCAGAGGCAACTATTCACATCGAAGGTTGCACAGAAGGAGAAAGGTTTGCGAAAAAGTCAATTGCATGGGAGATAACCTATTTTGCTAGACAGTCAGCAAACGCATTTGCAGATCAGGGAATATGTAGAAAATCCACTTTAACAAACTTGGAAGATAGAGCCCAGATGTCGTGAATCTCGTCCTAAAGAGTCCAAGGAGTGGCAGAAGCACAAGTGACCCAAGAAATAGCATTGGAGGAGTCCGACTCGATGATTAGATTAGAATTACACAAACCTTCCATATAAGAGAAATTGAGGGCTCTCAAAATTGTTAAAACCTTTGCAGCATTGGTATTGATATTAGTAATGCCAATTCCCGATAACGGCGCCAAAAACTTGACAGGCTTCTTTTTTGTAAGTGTACGAAATCGCAAACAAGTAATAAAGAGTGAGTAGAATATCGTTTCCACGAGGATTGCTAAGTACCAAAATGGTGTTAACCTAATATTAAGAAATTAAATTGAAAGAATAAAACAAAGTGATTAAAAAGAACTCAAACAAGTAATTGTTGAAAAGAAATCAAGGGTTAAAAGCTATTAGGGATTTTGACTTAACAATTCTATCCGATTTATTCTATTAATTTGATAATCAATTTTAATTATTCAAGTAGGGGAAACAACCCTAAAATCACTAACAAGCTCTTCCGATGTATTGTTAGCTATTTTTCCACTAACTACGTCTTATCCGATTGTTAGCTATTTTAACCCGGTCTAATTACTGTAGAAATTAAAGGAAAGAATGTGTTCTATTTCTTTCAATTGTGTTATATTTTTCAACCTCTACTCCGCTATATATATACAAAAAATTATTCCAATATAAGAAGTAATCTAAATAGAAATAAACCTAAACTAGGAAACACAATTTTTACACTAATTAGGAATAAACCTAAACTAGGAAACACAATAGTTACTTTAATCACAAAGATTTTAACAATTACTTATCTTCCAATAGCGCAATCAAACATGAATTGAATCACCAAGTTTAATGGTTTGTTTGTGAATTCATAACCTAAGGTCGTTAAATGAAAACCCCCATGAGTCAAATCATATAGCTTCTGCATCAAGTTATTAGTCTCATATAATTTATTACGTTTTTTCATATCAAAAACCCTTCTCTCGATAGTGATTAATGAAATAAATCAATCCAAGAGAGAAACTCTGCCTGGACGCATTAAGTTCAATAATAAATTATATCATGAACAAGGAAAAACAAATCTAATATTATAAATTAGAATCGAAAGCTACATCATATCCCTAGTATATGAATTTAGTTCGACATAGTAATTAAATCAAAAACTCATTAAAATTAAAAAATAATCTCATAATCAACCCAGAATATTGAAAATAAAACAACGAAAGAAGAGTTTAGAAATAAAAACTAGTGCGAACTAGTCAACGATTGGCTTGAGCGGCTTTCTTGAATCTTGACACCAACTTGAATACTTGAAGTCTTAAAGAGAGAGAAAATTATGTAGAAAACAATAAAACAAGAGATGGAATATAGAATGAATAGATTCGCCCCCAATCATGGCTAGTCTCTCTCTTTATATAGATTTTCTGGAATATCTTCGTGTTCGTTTAGGAAAGTGAATCTTTATTAAGTAAAAAAATCTTTTGGAAATAGGAAAATATTTAGACTTTGTATTTCTTCTCAATTAAGACTCTCCCAGCGTCTAAATAGGACTTCAGCTTTAATAAGGTACATCC